ATCAAAAGTGGTTCACCCCTACAACTTTTGTACTTTTTACATAAAAAAGGAGAATTTGTATGTTATTATACTTTTCTGGTAAAACAGGAGGTGACCGAAACTAATTGAATACGTCAATCAATCCCGATTTATGTCATATACTAACATACCAAATTACGTTTTTTTTACCTGAAAAAAAAAATAAAAAAGTTATGGAGTGAGCCACTTTTTAAAAACACCCGGTATATGTTATAAATATTCGTAATACAAGTTTTAAAATGTTTGCAATATAAGTCTTTAACAAATTATAAATTAGTATAAACAATAATGTTGATTTTTTTTATTATAATAGTTATTGGGATCTGGTAGATTTTAGGTATAGTCTGTAAAACGAATAACTTTGAATTTGACAGTTCCCGCGGGCTTTTCTAGTGTTAATTTTATTAGGTTAGCAACTTGCGGCCATGCTGACGCAATGCCGTCTCTAATAGAACAGCCTCAGAGCGAGATTTATGACGTCACGCTAGTTAGATACTACGGATTAATAAATATGTTGTAGAATACATGGAAAACATAATTATTACTCGTATTTTTGGTTTGTATTTTAAAAATGATATAGTTTACATGAAATATACATAATATACAGTTAATAAATACAATATATATATATACCTATTTATAGTAATAAATACTTTGGCAGATAAACTATGAACCATACAAATGCAGCAAATGTTTTACAATATGGCTGAAATCGTACTCCATAGTCAATGTAGATAGTTTTTGTGTTAAGAATAATAATTTAAAAAAAATATGTGGTTATCTTTTGACAAGTTTATATTAGTTTATTAATTGCGGTAAACATTATACTATATAAATAAATTTTGTGAATGCAAATAATAATACATCACTATTAGTAGAGATTGAATGTTTTTTGTTACATTAGATCGATTTTCAAACCCCAAAATTTAAAATATATTTTACATTTTACCCATTATCTTATGTACTACCTATTCTTTATTTGTATATTGTAAAACATTTGCTGCATTTGTATGGTTCATAGTTTATTTGCCAAAGTATTTATTACAATAAATAGGTATATATTATATTGCATTTATTAACTGTGTATTATGTATATTTCATGTAAACTATATCATTTTTAAAATACAAACAAAAAATACGAGGAATAATTATGTTTTCCATGTATTCTACAACATATTTATTAATCCGTAGTATCTAACTAGCGTGACGTCATAAATCTCGCTCCGTGGCTGCTCTATTAGAGACGGCATTGGTCTAATATTTAGAAATGTCAAAAGCTGATGACGTTTTACTTTTGTCAATTACGACATTTCGTGTTGATTTTTGCAAGAAGAGGAAGAACTGTCACTTGTTTTATTATTTTCCTTTTCTATTTCACGAAAGTAAAAAGAGTTACCTACCTGATTCGTTCAGGCACTCAATTTAAAGAATATCAGTAACTTTTTTGATAGAGGGATTTTATATTCGCCATGTTGGTAAAAAATAACGGTCAAAATTCAAAGTTATTCATTTTATAGACTATACGTCGAATTTTTAAAATTTTCTATACAGAATTGAGAAGAGGGGCACTTATAATGATATTTTCTAATAAAAAAAAGTGCGGATTGTCCATAAATAATACCAAAAACAAAACCTCCCCAAAAAATTTTGTAACCAATTCAATCAAAACTCAGTTACGGTGGACGTTTTTACCATTGTGATCCTCTTCTCAATCTTTAACACAGATCAAAATATAATATCTATTCTTATCAGCTTAATATCGCTACGGCTATTTTTCAAAATTAATAGGAAAGTATAAATAAAACAAAATCCCGATTTTCAATATTTCATTGTTACCGCCAGTGATATGCCCAGACGCGAGCAAAAGACAAATAAACCTGCGTCTTCCTTGTCACTCTTATTAAACTTAATAAAGAAAGCTATATTCTAACCTCAAAAAATAAATAATTTTATTGCAGAAATCTCAAACATTTAGCCGAGTATCCGTACTTAAAACGTTAAAACATTAATTGTAGAATATATTAATATCAAATTTACATCAATAACTTCAAGATTGACGACGTACCTAAAATGTACCATCACCTAGTTATTGTTTAATGGCGCATTTGACGCGGCACAACTATTAAACAATATTAGTTTCGTCACCCTTAGATTTAATATACCTACGCCATCAAAATTTATTTCATCTCACTGTTCCGCGGACCAACTTATCCACGAAGGCACCATTGTATCAAGCATGTTCAAACTATAATACTCTTATGATGTTTTCCGATGAATTAGAGATATTTAACATTTCGGCCGCAAGTTTGAAGAATAAAATTAAGCGGTTGCTGTCTGGGGCATCTGAGTGGTAATTTGGCATTACTTGGTAATTTGTTTAAAATATTCACTATGTATTCCTTTATTATTTATAATTATATTCATAATTTGGATTAAAGTTATTATTTATTTATTTATAATCATTTTTATTTATTATTTTGTAACTTTCATATTTTACTATTGTAGTTTTAATAATTAGATTTAGTAAAATTTATGAACTTTCAAATATACTATATTATTTTTGTTTAATGCTAATACCACGTCTATGATCGAAAATAAACTTCGTCGTTGACATGTTTGTATAATAAGTTTACATACAAAATAATAACGAATTCCAAGCCACCTCTGATGCCTTTTTTTCTTTTTATCCTATGCTATTTCTAATAAAAGATTATTATTAAATTATTTATTGTATATTATAACTTACACTACGAAAGATGAATAATATTTCAGTTCTACCCTTGTATTCATAACCTAAAAGGGTGGGAAACTCCGTTTCTATTTTAGTTCCGGAGACTCACATTAAAAAGCTGTCATTTTTGTTACTACTGGTATCTTTTAGGTTTTAAGTAAGTTTCGGGTGTTGAGTTACTTTGTAGGTTTAATCGTTGATGTATTTTGATTTGGCGTCAAATTTTCTTTTAAGGTATTTATTTTAACAATGACATTTATGAAAAAATATTGTAAAATGAATTTATTTTATTTAGCTGATTTAATGATTATCTAATTACATTGATTTAAGCCTCATTCAGAACCTCAAAATTCGTGATATAAATTGGTGGATTCAATTGTACTTTATACTTTTTTATACAATAAAATTAATAAATACTTTAAAAATACAATAATTAATATTAATACAATATCTTAGCAACAGCTTGGTGGTAGTCACTTGTATCCATAGAGAAAGCCTAATATTTAGCTTATAAAACAATCAACTTTTGATTTCATACCACAATTTCTCTTGACGGAAGATAATCAAAGGCCAAAATGACATTTCTCTCAAATTTTTAATTATAATTAACCAACTTTAAGTTTTATTCAGAACCTCGCAATTAATAGAATAAATTAGTGGTTTCAATTAGCGTAGAAGTTTTTGTTCCTTTAATTTCAATGTAAGCATTCAGAACATCAAAATTAGTGGTAGGCATTTTCAATTAGTAGAAAAAGTTATCAAACTTTTAACTTTTCAACTAATTAAACTTCAAAGTTTGCGAGGAATGTCATTTTGGCCTTTGATTATCTTCCGTCAAGAGAAATTGTGGTTAGAAATCAAAAGTTGATTGTTTTATAAGCTAAATATTAGGCTTTCTCTATGGATACAACTGACTAACGCAAGCTCTTGCTAAGATATTCTATTAATTTTAATTGTATTTTTTAAACATTGTGAATGATCGTAAACTAAAAAATATAAAGTGTAATTGTAACCACTAATTTATTCCACTAATTGCGAGGTTCTGAATGAAGGTTTAAACTTTTTCTACTAAGTCAAAATTAATACCAATAATTTTGTCGTCCTGGCTGATTACATTGAAATTAGAGGTACAAACTTCTACGCTGATTGAAAATTGAAACAACAAATTTATTCCACTAATTTTGAGAGGTTCAGATTTGAAGCTTTACACATTTATGAAATATATTTTATTTACTATATTATTTTATAGATATTAACTATAATATTAATTTAGAAAAATAGTTACTACTTTAACAAATAACGCGAACTTTATTTGTTCGTTAAATATTCTATTGACATTTTAAGTTGAAAAATTATCAAAAAACCTGTTTATAAAAAGAACATCTGTAAACAATTTAGAAAAGTATAACCTAGTAATTGCCGTTTATGCATAATGAGTTCGCTTGCACGTAGCAGATTGTTTTTTATTTGTTTTTTAAAAGGTAAGTAAATAGAGCATGACGTAGCAATTATAATGCTTGAGCAACAGCACGAACTTGAGGAAATTCTGCGTCATTCGACCATTTTTTTCGTATTGTTTACAGAGACACAAATCCATGAATATTCCTTTTCCTTAATTTTCCACGCTCCTCGTCCTAGATTGCTCTCATTTCCATAAAAAAATTCTTTAACGCTCGCCAGAAATGTATTTTACGAAAACCTTTAGAAATGAATCTTTCTATTTCTATCTTTGAGGAAAATAAGAAGAGCTTGGGAGCTCCCGATAATTCTAAGCAATATTAACTAGTTAAAATTAAGTATCTCTTTTTCGTTGTTATATTTTTTTCGTATCGCGTCTACCCGAGTACCTATAGATTTTTTTTATTTCATATCTCCCTAAAAGAAATATATATTTTTTATATAAGAAAAAAATATAGTTATTTTTATTTGAACAAATAAATAAAGAATAAACGACATAACTATTAACTGACAATATACCAAACATATACCAGTATGTATTTATTGTTAATGTGTCTTATATAATGTTGAATTTTTGATATTTTCCCATAAGGTAGTTTAAAGTAGTTTAAATGTCTACTAAGATGTTAAAGAATTGTTTAAATAACGTATTGAAACACAAGAAATCGGTCAAGTTCACTAAAATCAAACTTAAACGTAAAAATGATTAAGCGGGGGGTGATATAAAAAGAAGTATTTTTGGTTAGTTACTTTTATTTTATACAGTTATTGATAACCAGCGCACAAGGAATAATATTAATCAGGGGTTTAATTGTTTTAATATATAATTTAAGTAAGTTAGTTAATTTTTTAAACAATGTACGCGGCAGCTGGAGGTGCGTCTCTGGCCAGCCGCCAGGCCCGACAAAAACAGCGTCAGCAAAAGTCAAAGCAGCTTAAAAATGCTCAAAAGGCCTCCGAGTTTCCGCCGAAAACGCCACAAGCTAAACAGTTCCACAACTACACCGATCCGGCGGTACCGCGGTTGTCTCGCGTGGAACGAGGTGCTTTAAAACCTCCCGGCGCCAACGAACGCCGACACAGTACTTCGAATTATCTGAAAGAACCCCAGGCGAGGGCGCGAATACGCGAAAGCCCTTCCATATCCATTCCCGTACAATCATCGCAAAATTTACCCCAACTGCCTCTGTCTCCCACCACCTTGGTGCAGCACAACCACGTGGAATCTACGTACTCGCTGCAAGGAGGTCAACTGCCGCAAATATTCGTACCGGACGATGCCCCTCCGGAGAGAAGGTGCAGTTTCGTGCGCCAAGTGGAGGAGGTTGGAAAAAAGGAGGAGGATGTGCTGGACAGGTGTCACCATCTGTGCAATTTTGAGATCAGAGATGGGCCGTGGGAAACGCACACGCAATATTACACGGATTTGGAGAAAGAGATGTATGGAAGTTTGGATTATCCTTTCTCTGAGGTAATATATTTAGTGTATCTTAACAATAAATCATAATTAGCGACTGCAATATCACACATATTCATGTGATTTCTCAAGCGCTGGGTTTCTTATTATTTCTATTCAGTTTTCCCCAATTAAATAAATAAAGGACGCCATCTACTGAGCTCGCAGTAAATGTTTCTAGAGAATTTTAATATCTAGATTGAATCTTTTAGCGCTGTAATAATTAATTAATAAAAAATTAGATTAAAAGATTAAAACTCGATTAAAATTATTTTTAAAATGGCGGCTTTTCCGGAAATATTTCTAGTTAACATGAACTGACTTATTTAAAAAGAAAACTTAAAGGAAATATATACAAAGACAAACCTAAATAATAAAGTTATTGATTAGTAGAAAAACTCTGCTTTAAAAGGGAAAATTAAAATAAGTAAGTTGACAACCTTCTATTTAAATCATAAAATCTATCATATGATATTGGCTGTAATTGTCTTTGCATTATGAAAGACCAAAGAAACGCAACTACGTCAAATCGAAGCCCATCTTTCATAAATATCACATTTCTTATAAATACTATTTGTCGTATACCGGGTGCGTCTCAAAAGTGGCTCACCCCTATAATATAATAATAATAAATCGTCTTTATATTAGTAGTAGCTATAAAAAAAGATAGTTTGTAAGTATAACTTTTTTTATTTTTTCATATAAAAAAAACGAAATTTGATATGTTAGTATATGACATAAATTAGGATTGATTGACATATTCAATTGTTTTTGGTCAATTCCTGTTTTACCGGAAATGACTACAACTTTTGTTTTTTTTAATAGCACCCACGGTATTTTTTACTTTATTCGATAGAAAATGACATTCTGAATAGAATGACATATCATCGGCAACTTTTGACATTTTTGCTTAATAAAAGATCGTATTTTAAATTTAAATCAGTGCCATGGCTATGTTAAAAGCACTAATTCTTAATCAAGGAACCTTGGAAAAATAGATTTGATCGTCTAATGTTTTTAATCTTCTTGTTCTGGCCAGTTAGAAAATGCTCCAATCGTATTTTTAATCATATCTCAATTTTTTCATATGGAACGAGGGTGGCTCATTAGCATATTTGGAAAACCCATTTTTTTACGAATAATTTGATACCACACACTTGGGCATTTAGAGACAAATTTTCGTTACGAACCGCAAATTATAATTTCAAATAAACCATATGCGAAAATGTCAAAAGTTGGCTTATGAAATGCCTTCTATTCAGAGTGTCATTTTCTATCGAATAAAGTAGAAATATACCGAGGGTGCCATTTAAAAATCAAAAGTTGTAGTCATTTCCGGTGAAACAGGAAGTGACCAAAAACAATTAATTGAATACGTCAATCAATCCTAATTTACCAAAGCTAGTTTTTTTAACTGAAAAAATAAAAAAGTTATAGTTATAATTATCCAAGGATTTTAATAGATATTATAATAATTTTAATTCCGTTTGCGTGAGGTTAGTAAAAAACTGAGAGCTTTTTTAATCTTATTATTAGTCAAAGCATATTTTTCCGTCAAAGGGTGTAATAAAATAAATGAAACTCTATATTTCTTATGCAAATATGTTTTTTTTATGAAACGTAAGATATATATGCCAGGTACTAAATTAAAATTAACTAATAGCTTTTAAGAAATTTAAATGTAAATTTTATTAAAAAATATTAATGGCCTCAGGAATGGACTCAGGATATAAAATAAAGGTTGTAATAAAAAAAACGGACAAGTGTGAGTCGGAGTCGCCCACCATGGGTTCCGTACAAATTTATAGGTACATATATTTGATGCCAATTAAACTAGTAGTGACGTAATCGAGGGCGCGATTTTTAAATTCAATGCTGCCAACCATGGCAACATATTCGTCGCCGGGCTGACTAAGTGGAATTTAAATTTACAGCTAGGGATTCAGGTGGTAGCTCTGCTGTAAAAAATGTCAAGTTGCTATATTTATTTTTTTTATTTCCTGACATTGTCATTCGTTTTGACACTTTAGTTTTGTTTTACGAGTTTTTGGTTTAAATCATGTTTAAATGAATTGTGTTGTGATATTTAAAGCTTAAAATAGCAGACCTTGCAGTCAAACATTGTTCTTCTTAGAACCTATTTTAGTGCGAAGTGTACAAGATAGCTTAATGGCCGTAAAAAAATCATAGTAACTTTATTAGAAAGCGGTAGTAATGACCCTTTATGTCCCTTAAGTGTTGCTTTGGAGGCGAGTTTTGTTGATGTAAATAATAACTGTTTATATATTTATAATTAATTTTTTTTCTGTTTCCTAAAATATTTTGATTAAAAGAAAATATGTAAAAGTGGGCAAGGCTGTATCAGTCAAGCTAAATTAGGTGACTAAAAGTTTATCTGATATGAACTATAATATAAATAGACTTTAAATAAAGACTACAGGATGTCCCCGGATTGTCTTTACAAATAAAAAAACTGTTTTTGACACTTAGAAAGAAAAATATATTCTTCATAAAAAGATTTATACCGTTTTAGGAAAAATGGAAAACACATGCAAATATGGTTAATTTTTTATGGTTAATTTTATCCTAGAAGTCCTAAAAACTCAAAAGGCGTTTCTATGGTAATATTATGTATTTCTATTTCATTCTTTGATAAATGGTCTTTAAGTTTTTTTTTTAATTAACAGTATTATATTGGACAAATATTGTATTCTTAGTTGTTTAAAAGATTTTCATAATTCCTTATAGTAGGATTGACCCTTCTTTGCGTAATTTCAAAACCTAAATTTGATATTATTTTTGATAATAACCCTAATTGTGATACATATTTTTGACAAGCTTATGGCAAGCCAGATCATATGATTTATAAAAATAGAGGGCGTTCCATTTAAGAAAACGTAACTTTAGTTCATATCTTCAAAAATATTTTTTTCGTAGAATATCATACTATGCTACTATATTCTACGTAAAAAAAATGGGACACCCTGTACAATACCTTTAAAATAAATTATACACTGGACACCGTCTGTGTCCAATTACCATTCGAAACAGATAATTGTAGCTTTTTAAGTAGATTCTAAACATGTTCCAGTTTTTTTTTGAATTGTGTTCGTGGCACGCCGAAAGGTAAAGTTGGATCAATATACATTTAATCTGAATCGCGTGAAGCACAAGCGTCAAGTCAGCTTTAAATTGGGTATCTGCCAAGCACGGCAGTCCCTTTTTTCCAAATGCATAATGTATTTTGAAAAATGACTGATTTACATCGAGAAAAATAGGCGTTCTATATTTGCGTAATGTGCGGTTGTTTCATTTAGTATTTATCGTATATATTGTCGTGTTCCGCGAAATTTGCATTTGCAAATTAACTATAAATCCGAAATTTGTTATACATTTGTCCCATAATTTGTTTAATATATACTAAATATATTCCATGATTTGTCATTGGGAATAATGAATAGTATAATAGTTATTTTCTGGGTAATAATAAAATAAAGTTAGAGAGTTGATGAAATGGAGTTTGCCTAGAAACATTTGTACGCACATTTTAAATAGAATACTTTTAGGGACTATTTGTCAAATAGAAATTAATCTCTTACAATAGAAAATCCTATCTAAAAAGTAGGATTCAAATAGATATCGTTAAATTGGAAGGGGAATCAAAACAAAATGAAGAACCTCTTGACTCACTTAATCTCACCTCTTAGAGAGTTGCAACAAGTTCTTTTTAAATGTCTATACCTCTATGGCCGATTCATCTCTTCAAAAAAGTCCTATATGTATTTTGCCACTGCAAGAAAATCTACAAAATAAAATAGTTATTTTTGTAAACAGTGCTTCGTTAATCCAATGGAGCTCGCAATGAAGACTAATGGTCAACAGTGGTTTACAGTTGGGGGTTGGAACCTTTGGTGTTACACAGCAAAATAAAACACTAAATCGCCACAATACACCAAAACACTTTTACTTTTACACTTTCATAATAAGATTTATACCTTTTTAGGAAAAATTTAAAACACATGCAAATATGGTTGATTTTTTTCCTAGAAGTCTTAAAAGTCAAAAGGCGTTCCTATGGTAATGTTATGTATTTCGATTTTATTCTTTGATACATGGTCTTTATTAATTTGACGCCTAAATAACAATTTTCAATATTTTTCGTTTCAAGTTTGTTTTCCTTTTTTTTACTTTCCTTACCCTTGCATCTGAATACAATTTTGGTTCTTAGATACAAAATTTAAAATCAAATATTATTTTTAAAGTTTATTTTTTTTTAATTAACAGTATTATATTGGAAAAATATTGAATTTTTAGTCGTTTAAAAGATTTTCATAATTCCTTATAGTATGATTGACCTTTCTTTGCGTAATTTCAGAACCTAATTTTATAATGTGATGAACTTTAAACTGTTACCACCGAATTCCTAAATATGTTTTCATCTTTTTTTTATAACGTGATTTATAACGGGATGGGTTTGCAAATATCTAAAAGCTTGCTTGATAGCACTTTCCAGGTCTTCGACATAGTTATGGTTGCCACGATATATTTTAATATTTCAAAAATCCCTATATATAAAAATCGAGAACAGACAATCACGAGGATTAGGAATGCTATCGTATGGGTCCATTGGTCCCAATTCAAAGATTTGGGAAATAGTCATTTAACAAAGTTCTAATATTTTCAAAGTTGTAAGGGGGAGCCCCATTTTCCTGAAAGAATATTTCATGTAAATTATCTAAAGGAATATGTAAAAGTTCCGATACGATAGCTTCCAAGATTTAAAAATAGCGATAGATAATTAAGTTTTCCTTATATATAAAGAATTTATTATTGGCTTCCAAAATAAAACAAGAGACAGATAACATTTATACTTTTAATAATTCTTTAGTTTCTTTTTATCAATCATGGTATACTAATAAAAATGATCTATTAGTGAAAACTTTTAAATATTGCAGTAACTAGTGAAAATAACAGAAGCTTATGGCAAGCCAGATCATAATTTATAAATATACAGG